GGTGGGGTGGGGTGGTGGTGGTGGTTTTAGCAGCGGTGATTTCGACGAAGATACAGCTAATGGCAGTGGTCAGGTAGTGATTACAAATGATATGGTTGATAGTGACCAATAAATTAGTTAATACGTAACCAATAAACAATATGTGACAAATGAAATAGATAAATTGTAATCAATAAAAAATGTGTGATATATATATATATATATATGCCTGTCTTGCAGGCAGCGCGGCCTTTTTAAATAAAATCACGAGCCGGCTCGGCTCGATAAGGCCCGAGCCGAAAGCTCGGGTTGAGTCTAGATTTTTTAACCGAGCAAAAGCTCGGCTTGATTTGAGCCAAAAAAAAGCCTGAACCATTTTTACACGGGTCGAACTCGACTTTCGAGTTTCAGCTCATCTGAGTTCAGCTCGTTGACATCCCTAATAATTTAGGACCAAATTGTATAAAATTGTGACCTTATATTTAATTTATAAAATATATTTTTAATTAATGATTTCATAAATAAAAGTTAATAAATATCTGATTTTTGAAATTTAAACATTTTATCTTAGTTTTGAAATGATTTGTAGTTAAACTCTTAGGAATGACAAAGGTGAAAATGTTTTTCAATTCCATGTAAGTTGGAAAATAAAAATCCAAGCATCCCATAAGAATGCATTTTTCATGGAATTGGCAAAAAATAAGCTTAAAGTGGTTGTACCTTGAAATTCGAACTTCATTTCTACTTTCGTATCAAATAGCCAAAGTAGAAATTGAATTCATCATATATGACATTTTCCATGGAATTTAAACCAATCAAACGGATCCTTAGTTATGAATTTTTTCCTTTCGTTTAAACCTCTATAAATAAAGGGTTAATTCTTTGTTTTTTGGCGTCTCGAAATTAATAAGGGGTTATTCTTTTTGCCTTTTTCAACCCGTTTTCTGTTTTCGATTTTCCAAAATAGTGAAAATGCGTTCTTTTTCCTATTTTCGAAAACGCGTTTTTGAAAACAAGTGTAAAAGTTACAAAGAAAATTCAAAACGATAAATTTGTCGTTTTGAGTCTTTTCATTTAAAACAAACCCAAAATTTTCAAAACGCATTTTGGGTATTTT